TTATAAAGCCTGCTGGCACAAAGATCTGAGAGCAAAAAGGATTTAGGAAGCTTCTTAGTAGAATATTGCGGGAATGCACCACTTGTATAGACGTATATATCAAATATATGTATATATATATATATATATATATACAACACTCTCTTGAGTTAGGAAACCTGGTCAGGGTCACCCTGTTGCATCCGCAGCTCGATGCTTTCACTTAACGATAAACTAGGATCACCCACTATGACTGGTCTTTCCAAGTGTCGATGAGTCAGTAACTCTAATATATATATATATTTTTTTTTATTTTCTTCTTCGCAAACGTGGTTTATATTGGCAAAGGAATGGCAAAGTGAGAGTACGGAAAACAGTCGGAAATGAAAGAAGAATTTGAAATGGAAATCAAGGAAATAGGTGAAAAAAAGGAAATAGGAAATGAACTGTATATAGGGGAGAAAAAAAGTGGGTCAAAAAAGCTTTTCAAGTATAAAATCAACTTTTTTTCTAGCAAAACTTTCAACAAAACTAATGGTTCAATTTTAATTTTGCAACGAGGGAGAATATCAATAACGTAAGACATATACAGAAAACTTAGGGTCTTTTTTTAAAGTGAATAATTGTTTTTTAATAATAACAGTAACTTTAGTAAATAAATTTTTAATAATTATTTATTTGTTTATTATTTATAATTTTTTACTTTAACTCCTATTCATTTTTTTTTTTTTTTTTTTTTTGTTAACACTCTTTTTATATATTCACTTGAGCTTGTTCGTATCGAGTGTTTTAAAAAGTTATTGGAAATTTTTTCTCTATCAAGAAATTTGGAATGAATGCTATTGAAAATTCCAGGAAATCGCACACAAATTCCACGAATTTCAGAAGGATTCTACGAAACTCCCATGAGATATAATGTCCAATGTCTCGAATCAAATTTGATTTATGATTCTCATATTTCAAATATATACTATTATATTATATAGATACGATTATGTATCTCAAATCATTGTAAATACGTTATTTACATGTAACAGATGTTTAATCTATGTAAATTTTGATAAATGATTTTTGAAAATTTTTGTTAAATCTTATCTTTGAAAAGATTTATTTTTATTAATTTTCCTTTCATCCGTAAGAGTTGTAAAAGAAATTTAATATTTCTAAAGATTAATAGATTGAATTGATATAAACAAAACTCAAAAGTTGGAATTGTAAGTAGAAGAAAAAATTATGCTAATGCTACTATTTGCAACTTTGAATAATATATGAAAGGAAATGAATAGTCCCATAAATAAATAAGAGTAGTCGAGTGACTTTAAATAGCATAAGCAAAGAACACACATGATAATTCATAAAGAAATTTTTTCAAAGAAAGAGATCTATTTAAATTAGAAAAATAATTGCATAAATTATATTATTTATAATAATTATGAATAATTGAAATTTTATTTGTCGTATTTTTAAACATATAAAAAATGAATTATACAAGTAAAATTTTTACAAGTACAAGGAAAATTTTATCTTAAAGAGAAAAGTTCACAACGTTTTTATAATAACTTGTATAATAAAGTTAATTTAATAGAAAGTAGAATGTATAACGTTCCAAATTTGGAAAAATTTTATAAAAAGATAAAACGAGATTAGAAAACTAGAGTTATTCAATCCGTACGTCTGTTTCATACATATATATGTGAAATCAAACCTATTTAAAAAATTGAATATTAATACACTGAGAAAAATGTTTAGTATCATCTACCAAAGTTTGGTTCTCTCTACCAAATTTTTTATTTGATATATGTGCAACTAATCCGTTTGGTTCGGGCTACTAAATTTTTTCGTTGAATCATTTTGTTCGGTCTACCAAATTTTTTGTTTTGCACAACTAACTTATTGTTTTTAAGTAAACAAAAAATTTAGTTAAATGAAAATTTTTTTTTTGTTTTCTCAACCAACTTATTTTTTTGTTTCACCCTTTTCTCTTTATATAACCTACCTATGCCTACTTAAATTAATTTCTATCGCGGAAAAAACCTAACACTGCTGGGGCTCGAACCCTCAGACTACGCAACGCTAGTCGAGAACGCTGACCACTACTCTACGAATCCTACTAACAATTTGAGATTAAATCATTTTCACAATGTATAAAAGCTGGAAAAAAACTTTCGTTCTTGTAACAAGTTTTATTTATTTATTTTCACTACACAAACTTTTTTTTTAAAAAATGTCTGAAAAACATAAAAACTTCAACACTGAAACTTTACGACGCGAACGACATATGGTTAATGTTGACATCCCGTGAATGGGAAGCGACGCCATATTTACGAGAAGAGCGCGTGCGCAATACAGCATGTCAGCTATTTAGTACTGGGAACCAAACTATTTAGTTCGTAAACATGAAAGCTTCAAATATATTTTTTGGTAGAGCCAACTAAACTTTCCGATTTATTGCCACTTTCTATTCTGTTGTGACAACCATATTTTAGTAACGCCAACTAAAAAAGCTCAACTAAATTATTTTCTTATTATTACGAAATTATTTTTCTCAGTGTATCTATCCAAAATGACAATTTATTTAAAATATATCTTATAACACACAAATTCGAAATATTTAATATCGAATTTGTTGAAATGTGGAAAGATAACGTTTACAAGTTTAGTTCAAAATCTATTTTAAATTGTGATTTCGTGCGGAACATTACCATTTTGAATACTTACAAATCTTGCTCGCACACAAAACACGTTTCATCCATTTCTTTTATTTCCTTTTACAATTAATGAAAAAAAAACCCTTTAAAATCGATATTGTACCTTCAATAACATATCGTATATAACTTAATTTTATTGCGAGATACAAAAAGAATTGATTACCTAAAAATAATTGTACCGAATTAAATATTATGGAAATTAAAGTATCAAATATCAAAAAAAAATTCTGATGAATTAAATATATTTTCAAGGGATTGTTAATAATAGTTGGTATAACAGTGCAAAATTATATATCCAATTTAATTTTTAATATTATATTTCTTTAAAAATCTGCATATATTCTTGTAACTTTTTCCATCATAAATATAAAAGTGAGAGACTTTCATAGTAAACGACCTATTCTTTCATAAGGACAATAGCTTTACTTCCATAAAAAAAAAGACTGTACATTGAATATCTCGTGTAAAAGATGCTACACAGAAGCTCAATCGCTATTGTGTTTGTTTCACAACATATACTTTTAACAGTATTTTCTATACCTATATATATATGTACCTTCGTTCCTGTTATGGAAGAAAAAAAATAGTTGAAGGTGCAATAAAAATATGAGAAAACAAAATGTTAAATACATTAAAGATATTACTGAAAAAAATATGAAACTGAGAAATTCAACTTACGTTATAGCTGACTTCATACAACAAAAAAATATATTTGACCCAAAATTATCTCCTTATGATATTTTAAGCTAAAGCAAAAATATAAATAAATTTTTTTTTTATTATGAACAAACAAACAAAAAAGTTTACTTCTCTAAAAGATGATTTACGATAATTTACAAAATCAAATATCAGAAGTTTTAGGTTATGAATCTTGTGAATTGACAAGTACTATACTGCCAACCATGCAACACAAAATTATAGAATAATGGCGCTAAATTTAAAAAAATTTTAAAACTTTTACTCCGGAAAGTTTGTATTCAGAGTTAATCATTTTTATATGTATTTTCAATCAAAAAATTACAAAAACATAACCTTAAATTTATTAACTCTAAGATCCCTTTTCTCGTGGAGAGTCACATATTTTATTTCATGATATAAAAATAGAGAAAACTAGAGATTTTAATTTAAAATTAGTCGCTTTTAAAAAACAACAATAATGCAAAATTGCTTAAACCGCAAAGTAATTCTTTTCATTTGATTTATGATCATTTTTTTTTCTTTTTAATTTTAGAGTCATGTTTTTTTAAATTGTACGCTATATTCTATTTTAAATGAGAAAAATAAGTAATGGAGGAGCGTAAAAAGTTGCACGTTAAAAATGAGACATTTTTAATGTTTTCATACTTAAAAGTCAATATAATATTTACATTTTTTTGTGGATCTTTTTTTTTTCTCTATAAGAGAATAAAGTGTATTGAAAATTTTTATTAATTTATATTTATTTCAAAAAATCTTTTTTAAACTTTAAATAATGTTTTTCAAGAATTATATATAATAGGGGAGAGTAGTCAAAGGTTGGACAGTGGTCAGGGTTGAGCCATCGCGTTTATTTTGTTTTATCACACTAGATCCATCTGTCTTTGTATGTAAGTATTTGTTAGCAATGTCAGCGAACTTTTCACATACTTTATAGTGAAGTGTGCAAACAATAAAGACGTATTATGCAAGTTAAAAAAATTTAATACAAATTTTTGACATTTTTTTTTTACTCTTCGCGATACAAGCGAAAATCTGAAAATTACATAATAAGGGCTTTTTATTTCAATTTCGTGGTTCCTTTATACATTTCCAAGTGTATTTGAGCGCCATTCTATTATTTGAAGGTCATTATTAATCATTTATCTGCATATTTCATTAATTTTCTACAGTTGCTCAATCCTGACTACCTGGTTCAACCCTGACTACTATTTTTTCTTTTTTTTATAATTGGACTATAACTCCAAAACTTTTGGTCAAATATTTTTACAATGTTCAGCAAAAATATTACATTTTAGTAGATCTTTCGAACCATATGCGAGAAATCTCAAAATTCGGCCTACAGGGAAAGTTATAGAGAAAAGTCAAAACTATATCCAACCCTGACTACACTTCCCTAACTAAAAATTTTTATGTATACATATATGGATTATTTTCAATTTTATTCTTTTCTATTTTGAAATTTATGTGACCAATTGACAAAATAAATAAAATTTCATATAATTATTAGGAATTATTTCCATATATTGTCAACGCTATAAATTGTTTTTTAATTGTAGGAGCTAAAAATATTTTGTGAAAAACAATATAATTAAGATATAATGTATTTCCACTTACCACCAGTAACATGACTAATGTGTTATCTTTGATTCGTTATAAAAATCGCATCTTTAGATTAAAATGAAAATGGTGTTAAAAAATTCTTCTCTTTATCATTTCTTTGTTAATCTGGAAAAGTAATAATTATAAAATTTTAAAAATTTTCTCTCAATATATTATACAAATTTGACTAAATATCTAGGTTTATATAACTAAACTGAATATCGTATAGAACATTTAAAATTTAGAAATTTTGTATTTAAATTAAATTTAAACAAATAAATAAATAATCAATTAATATTAATAAATAAATAATTAATTAATTAATTAATTAATAGTATAATTAGAACAATGTCCCAATTTCAAAAAGATTAAAATTTTAATATTTGATTAAATTATTATATTAATTTGAAATGTTGCATTTTTTTACTATTGAGTTATATTTATAAACATATTATATTATCTTTTGGTGCATTACTTTTTCTATTAATGCATTGCATAATGAAATTCTGTAATTGGCCTATGACTGTTGGATTTATTGAAAAAAAGGAATTGAAAGTTAATCTAAAATAAATAAACATATAAAATATACATCAATTTAATAAAATGAAAAAATAAAAAATTTTACTATTTTGAAGGTTTTAATAAAAATTAATTTTTTAATATATAACTTTAATTTGAATTTCCAATAACTATATATTTAATTATCCTCTTGATCGTTTGAAAGTGATAAAAGTTTCTTGAGAGCTTGTTAGATGACTCTACTAGTAGCAAATAAGGCACTGAAAAACCGGTTTACAGTCTTAAACTTTGTTTTTATTGTTGGACAAGAAATACTATTTAAAAATAATGATAAAATTGATAGAAAAAAAAATATTTTTTTTAACAAACTTATTTTCAATTATGTGCTATAGATTTAATAATGAATTTAATATATTTAAACGCTTTTTGAAATTTTAATTAATTGATAATTAAGTAGCTAGGAAAAGACATTTTGCACTTAAGTAATACATAATTAATTGTTTGTTATTAATTTAGTAAATTAAATTTATTTTTTAATCAATTTGGAAAATGAAGAAAATAAGAAAAAAAAAATAAAGAAAATAATACAAATAAACCAAAAATTTAGTATTTTAAAAATTGAACTTTTTTATTTACTGATGTTATTCCAGTAACTTAGTTTTGATCAATTTTAGATAATTTCTTACATAACAAACTAAATTAATTTTTAATATTTGTTGTCAAGTAAACAATTTAAAAGTAAAAAAAAAAAATTCTATTACATTTTTTTTATCAAAATTAAACTGGTTGGAAACTGGGTCTTATAGCTGAACCGTAACTGTAACAACGCGACAGTAATTATTTACTTTTTTATTTATTTCAAAGACCTAGAGGTATTTGCAGCCTTCAACATAGTAAAGAATATATCTTATAATATAATAATAAAATATTTCTTTTACGAATATCCAAATTTAACATAAGATTTTAGAGTTAAAATAATAAATAATTATAAATATACTTCAATTATTTATATTAATTTAAAAATTTTGTTCACTAAAAAAACAAATTTATAATGCATTTTTTTAACAAGCCATGCTCAAATCACTGCGAAACATTATTATTAAATTAATTAATTTTTCAGTTCTTTTTTTTACAAATTATCTTTATACTCGTGTTTCTAAATAAATAATTTAAATAATTAACCAAAATTTTATCTACAATACATTAATTATTTGTTTTATTTATTAAAAATTAATTATACATTAATAATTAATTATTATTAAAAATTAATTATTTCAATTTTAGGTATATAACTGAATATACTAATATAGGTGAATTTAAAAAAAAATAATTATTCTATAAGAAAACTAAAATTTTTCTCAATATATACATAGAGAAAAAAAAAATTTGAATTAAAAAATAAAATCAAAAATACCTTTATAAACTCATAGTTGCGAAAAGAAAATCATTAAAAAATAAATATTCTATTGAATTGAACTCTCGTATATAAATTTTATCAATAAGAAAAATCTGTTCTCACAGTTTGTATATTATGTAGAGTTTGAAAAGCCAGCAGCCCTTCAGCAAAGCTGCCGTCAGGGAACTGTCGGAACTTCTTGATCTTCTTCAACAAGAGTTGGCAGAGAACATTTTTACTGTCAGCAAACGATCCTTAAAGGCAACCGGTTTCTACACGCATTTTGCAAATATATAATAACAAAACTTGTACGAGACTTGAATTTTATCTATAAAACTCTAAATAGGGTTTCATCTTCAATTTTTTCCTTTATGCATTTTTATTTTGTCAATTTCCCCTCCATTTCAAGTTTTTGGGTATTATAAAAACCCAGTTATCCTTGATATGAGAGCTGTAGGTTAATGATCCAATGTTTTTTTTTCGTTTGAGTTATCTTTCTTCTTTGCAACAGAACACACAAAACTGGTCTATAAAAATATGTACTGTATGATCTTTGCTGATCCTCGCAGACGAGGAATACTCAGAAAACTGTGGGTGAAATTGATCAAATCTTGTGGTAAAACCATTTTGTATTTGTAATTCTAGTGTATATATGAGAAAGTTGCGTGGTAGGGTGTAATAGCCTTTCTAGAAGCGTAAACTCTTATGCACAATTGTTATCTCATTGACTAGACGTGGGATTATTGTTTATTACGAAATATATTATATATAGCGCGTAGGTGACTATATATATATAGTTACTAGACAAAAGAGAAATTATTTAACATATCAGGATCAGATTTTATTCATATTTATAAATAGAAGAATTTCTCGAGAAATTTTATAAAGTATTTTATAAAATTATTATGCACACAAAAATTTTGTAATGTATTTAAATAAGATGTAGGACTATTATATATTTTTATGCCAAATTACACTCGGATTAAAATTCATGAAAACAGCAGAAAAGAAATAAAACATTTTTTTTTTTTATAAATGGAAATAAATACTAATAAATTTTTAACTATTTACTTTAATCTCCAGAAATATTTTCCATTTAAGGGGGGAACACCAGTTGTAACTCAAAAAATAATGCTTTTTTCAAGAATATTTTCCAAAAGAACAATGAATCTTTTTAAAGAATACTATTTATTAGTTAAAAGTACATGTAAAAAGCTGTAATTTAAAAGAAAAAAAAAATTTTTTTAACAAAAACTTTTGGAGATATGAGCCATTGAAGTGGCGTCTTAAGAAAAAAGGCGAATTGCGGTGACCAGCATTCTGCAAGTATACTTCGTCTGAAATACAAAAATGAAATTGATTTACATTTATTATAAGATTATCTAGTTCGTGATCGAAGGATTTAAAAAAAAAAAAAAATTTGACAAAATGGCGACCTGTCAAAGTCAAAAGTATGATTTTCGTTAAAAAAATACGGTCGATTTTCAGCTATATAAAAAAAAGTTTTGATTAAAAAAAAAAATCCTTCGATCACGAACTAGACTTATATGTGTAAATGAAGCACACTAAATTTTAAATAAATCGGTTTAATGGTATTCGAGTAATCGTGGTCACCGACTTGGAAAATGTCATTTTGAGAAAAACGCATTAAAAGTTTCAACTTACTTTTTTTTGTTCAGAAGAAATTTTGTTTCTAAGTTACAAAGAGTCATCGATTCCTGGACCATATAATAACTCTTCCGCAGTGGTTGCCGTTTCTAAATCATAGGAAAAGGCCATCTGTCGTTAGGGTCAGGTATGGCTGGCCACCTTGTATGAAGCCACGGGACGCGCCGCTGCAGTGTTCTGTATATCTCATTTATTTTTCACCGGATCAACTTTGAAATTTACAGACACATTTCTAAATATGTATACTTTAAGAAAATGCACCAAAAAAAAAATCGATTTTTCGAAAGTTACAACTGGTGTTCCCCCCTTAAGAAGAAAAACTAAAAAACTTGATTTTTCTTAGTATAGTTTCTAAAAATATGTTAGAAATTGTGATCATTTGTCTTCGGATGACGTGCAAGAATATTGTCGTAGTTTTCCGAGTTATTTCCGCGAAATTCAAAGTCTCTATATAAGTACTTGAAATTTAAAAGTTCACATTACCCCACCTTTCCCTATAACCAGACACTCAAAGAAAAAATTAATTTGACTTAACCAAACAGTTTAATTAACCTATTTTGTTTGAAACAATTAAAAAGTTTAGTTAATTTAAATAAAATTCATTTAATTATAACAGAAACAAAATTTTTATTTAAAGGTATTTGTTTCATTTAACCAAAGCATTGTCTTTGATTATAATAAAATTAATTAATAATGAATGACTACTAAAAAAATTGAATAAAATACGTCTATATCTGACTAATTCTTTTTTTCCACTGAACCAGCGTTCTATTCAAAAAGCAAGGAAAAAAAACATCTTCGCAAATTTATCTTCTTTTATATTATAACCATTTCATAATCTTTTGTAACTTTTATATAACCCTTTAAAAAGAAACTGTATAAAATATCACATATTATTATATGAATAAGAAAGTTTTTTAACAAATAATATGTGCGACGAGCTCTTAATAAAACAGGGACATAAAAAAAGAAAAAATTTTAGGTTATGTTATATAATTAAATAAGAACTTTAAATCAAGATAAAACTATCGTAAACATAAGCTATAATTTCTCAGGGTTTTTGGGGTCGCTGAATCCTAATTTTATGTCAGAATTAAAAAATTCAAAATGACTGATCCAATATGGCAACCAAAATATTTGAATCAGCCATTTTGATTTTTTTAATTTTAAAATCAAATTCGCATTAAGCGACCCAAAAAAAACCCCAGTTGATATTTTTAGACAAATAAACGTCATATTTTTCAAATTTTTGGTCGACATATTGGATCTGCCATTTTGAATTTTTTAATTCTATTGTAAAATTCGAAATTCAGCGAATGCAAAAACCTTTAATACGAAGAAATCATATTTTTTTGAAAACTTTTTTTTGGACCGTTTTGGGTCCAAAAACAATTTTTCCACTAGACTGTAAAGGCGTTAATACGTGGACAATTTTACAATATAACTTTGAAAATATTTGTAGTCACTTGTCTATATAGGGAAGAGTCAGTATGGTTAGGCAACGTTTTGACTTGTGGCCATAACTTCCGTTCTAAACCGAATTTCTGATTTACTCACGTATGGTTGGAAAGATCTTTTCAAGTGCAACATTTTCTCTGAACAACAGAAAGTGATTGCACCAAAAGTGTATAAGTTATAGGCATTTCAAAAAAATAAATTTTGTCTTTAAGGTCGGACCAGCGCTTCATGGTTGGGCCACCGTACAAAATCAATGTTATATGAAGAAAAATGATTAAAAATGTCCCGCCACAGAAGAAACATAGTATTATTTTCATCCCTAAATCTGTATAATATTTGCCTGCAACAAATTTTACCCTAATTAAGGGTGCAGCCGTCTATGTAAACTAGCATGTGTTCAAATAGTATTTTTCGCGCAATAAAGTTTATGCAGTGTTTTTTTTGTGTGTAAAACTTAGAATAATTTTGAAATGCACTTGAAAATGAGGAAAGGAAATATGAAATTGAGATAAAAAGCTCTGTGTCAATTTTTAAATAACATATTATATTTTTATTGCACTCCATGACTGATTAGACGCAAATCAAATTTCCTACGGTTGGCTTTTCTCTTTCTTCTCGAAGTGGGTCTGAAAATTCAAGAAAAATGACAAAAATTAATAATATTTAAATGTTTCCAATAAAATCTATTAGATTCACTTTAAAGAAACGTTCTTAAAACGTTTCATGTATGTCAAAATAAAGTATTAAAAGCGTCTCAAGAGAGGGGGAGAAAGAGTGGGTCCCCGAAAATCTTACAAAACGGGAGGGGGTACGAATTTAAAAAAAAAAACTAATTTAAATTAATGAACGCCCTCGAAACGTTTTCAGAACACGAGACATTTATAATGCGTTATTGCAGTAGACTCGAAATAAGAAGTTATGAATCGTTTCAGGAACGTTTCTAAAAAGTAAATCTTTTTTCCCCACTAGTAAATGACGTTTTTTACACATCGCTATGTCGGAAAATGAATTTATGATGTCAGGACGTATAAAAATTGCAAAATTTTAAGTGGCCCAACCAACACTACATTTATATTGGCCCAACCATCACTATCACGTCGTTTTACTTTTTTATTACACAGACAAAAAACGTATGATACAAACATCAAATAAGGCATTACATTTTTAAAGAACACTCTAACGAACAAACTTAGTCAACTTATTTTATTGTTTGCATCTTCTTTTGTTCCATTCACTTTTTCAGACACCACAATCAAGTTTTCCTTTTAATCTTTAGTGCACTTTTACAAATCACGTCATTCATGTCTGTACAAATTGGGCATTTCACTGAGTTTTGTTAAAAGTGACGTGAAAAGTTTATTACCATCGCTAGTAAGTATTTGCATGCCAAGTTAGATGGCGCTAATGTGAAAGGGCTTTAAACGCACTACTGGCCCAACCCTACCGACTCTCCCCTATATATCTCCGAAATAATATTAGGCTTAGTTTTCATGTACGGTGCACGGAAAACTGAGCCTAATGTTATTTCGGGGATAGGTCCCTTTTCTCGTGGTGTGGTTCATTTATTTTCAATTTCTCTTTAGAAAATGAATTTACTATGTGAAAGTATCATTACATTTTTATTTATTAATAATTTATTATAAAATTTTTTATCTAAGTAAACAAGGAAACATATTATGTGAAATAATTACTTTTTATCCTATAAACTTTTCTTTAAAAAGCGAAGAAAATTTTTATTCGAACGGAATCAATATTGCATAAAACATAAAATTTATTATAACAAATTATAAATATAGTTTACTTGTAAAGGTAATGGGAAAATAATATATAATTCTAAATATTTATACTTAAAAAATATATATTTTTCTTTTATGAGGCCGTTTTCACCGTGTGGATAAATTTAATCCTCTAAAAGATTAAAGGCAGTAGATATATTTTCTGCATTTGCGCAAAACGGCCTCTATGTTAAAATTTGTTGATTAAAATAATTGTTTTAATATTCAATATATTTATTTTGTATTAAATATTATTCATATTTTACACAGTTACAATATTTTTTGATATTTAATTCAATTCTTGCACGTTTTTCTCGATTAAATAAATATTATTTATTGTTTCTGTTTTAAAAAAAATTCTTTTAATTAATCTAATATTTTGGTTGATAAAAACTTTTTTTATTATATGTATATTTAATTTTATTGTTCCATCTTTTTTCACAAATTTTAATTACAAAAAAAATTGTAATTCTATAAAAAAAATTGAATATCTTTTATAAAAAATAAATGAATAAATTTTTTAAAATAGTTTATATAAATTTATTTATTGAATACATTTTTGTAAAATCTTTTTTTATAAAATATCTGTAAATTTTTTGGAGAATATAATCTATAAAATATAGATAACATTAACGGTGTTGAAAATTATATATTAACATATATG